GATTGGTGTAGTTTCCTTTTAGTTTAGTTTCATGGATTATTGAAACCGATATAAATAGTTCTGTATCTTTAAAATTAGATTTAACCGTCGTTTATTTAGTGTAGATAATGTACCGAACCCCGTTTTGAAAGTGCACATATGTACTCCAACACCGCTAATAATTCTTGGGTGGTCGGACCGGGTGACATATGTTATGCAACAAATTAATGGACCGATGTTTATTTAACGTACTGACAGCAATACGTCACCCGTCGTCGCCTGCGGAAGTCTTCTGACTCCTTTTAAACTTGCCGATATCTTATATCCAAAGATTATTACATTTAACATCATAATGAATTAATAAGAAATTATAATTAAAAATCATTTTGATTATAAGTTATAATAATTTTACATTAATTTCGAATATTTATTATTATTATATTTATTATTATATCATTTCATTTTTTATTTAAGCCAACTGAAAGATTCGCTTTGACTATATTTTATACGTCATTGTATCAAAATCCTCAGAAATGGAGTAATAATTAGAGTAATAGGTTAATGCACATTATATCAGCAATATACAGCCTGATTCAGAGTAAGCGCCTTATTTTTTTTTAGCCACACTATGGGTACTACTTTCAAAATATTTGGCAGTAATATGTTTTAGGACACTCTCTACACGATGGTGATATCATATTTTCAATTGGACGAATTATTTCAAAATGGCGACTGTCAACTTTTTTTTTTTAAATGGAATGCCAAATTTTTTTTTTATTATTGAGTTCATAAAAGCATTCTTTTTACGACAGTATTTTGTTTTTCTTAAAAATTCATTTCTTTCCCCATCCAAAAGGAACCTAATATTTTAATCTATACTCTGTTTTTAAACCAAGAGGAGTATTTTAAATTTGTCACCAGATTGACCTTGCACGTGATTGGTTGAATGCGAGGAAGGTTCACACACAGGCAATTTTGAATTTTGATTTTGAATTTGAAGGTTAGGTAATTGACAATTCGACAGTTTCGTGTCATTATTGTAAATTTTGTGTTCTTAAACCCTTCTTTATTATATTTTGAAATAAATACACTCATAACTTCAATGTTAATTTGTATGTTTAGTGTTGACGATAACAAACGAAAATAAATACAATAATAAGTAAATAAATAAATAATAACAATTATTAATTTAAATTTACCGCCAAAATATTTAGTGATATTTTCTGGTGATTTTTCCTAGTGTAAATCTGACTTTCGCGTTTACTCCTCCTGGTTTAAAAACAGAGTATAGTAGCGCATGAATGTTTTACACTCGATGTTATTTTTGTCAAAATAAATAAATAAGCAGATGTTTATTACAAAATAAAGTTTAATTGTTTCTTTTGTGTCTAGCGCTACTTGATATTTGGACAAAAATAACATCGACTGTAAAACATTCATGCGCTACTAGATTAAAATGTGTGCTTTTTGATGGGGAAAGAAATGAATTTTTAAGAAAAACAAAATACTATCGTATAAAGAATGTTTTTAGGACCTCAATAATAAAAAAAAAAATTTGGCATTCCATTTAAAAAAAAAAAGTTGACAGTCGCCATTTTGAAATAATTCTTCCAATTGAAAATGTGGCATCACCATCGTGTAGAGAATGACCCAAAACATATTGCTGCCAAATATTTTGAAAGTAGTACCCATAGTGTGGCTAAAAAAAAATAAGGCGCTTACTCTGAATCAGGCTGTATATTACTGATTGCATGCTTTCAATTTTGCCCAAAATTCACATTTTTTGATTAGAAAGACGACGATAGTAATATAATTGTGCCTGCTAGTTTTTTTAATGAAGTAATCATGCCTACTAGTCCTACTACCATGTTTTGAAATCTGTTGTATATTTTTGATTGGCGTTAACAGCTTTTATGCACACAACCAAATACAGTGTGTTAATTAATTATCGTACCCGAGGTTATCATTGCAAGTATGCAACCAATACCACAGTAGTGGTATTGCAATACGCGATTTGCGTATTTGGTTGCATACTTGCAATGATGACGTCGGGTACGATAATTAATTAACACTCTGTATATTCTTTTCATTTCATTCAATGTAAAGTTCATAAAAATGTATTTATTGAAAAGGTAATGCCAATAATGTCTAAATCATATTCAAAATTTCAAGCATTTGTACCTCGCTTGAATAAAATGCAATCTAGAAGCATAATCTCCTAACTCTGCTCTTGTTTAGGGAGACAAAGGAAAATTCCATGAAAAAACGCTATCAAGAACTACAAAAACATGATCTTTTCAACATGCATAAAAGCATAACAAAATAACTAAAACGAATATTCAGCAACAGGACATATTTGCAACAGATAATAACAAACAAACAATGGATCCAGCAGAAGTAGTAATAATATGGATACATCGCATTCAGGATTTCTTTGATGATAATATTGGAACTGGAATTAAGAGAAATAGATCAAGACCAACCGATGATTCTTGTGTCAGGTTAAACAGGAAAGCCACAGATGAGGATAATGTGTATGCCGAGATCCTGAGGTTAATGACAAGGTCAGGACCTGTTGTGTTAGTGTGCCAAGGACAATGACTCCCAGGTAAACACGTTGGGTAAGGTTATGAAAATATTAGGTAGCCGTGTTGGGTAAGGTGAGTTTTGTATACCGAGGTTAATGACTCCCTGGTAAGAATATTGGGTAAGGTTATGGATGTTGCACAATGCCAGGTAAATTGGGAAATATTAGCTATTTTTGCCAAGGTTAATGACTCCCAGGTAGGCGTGTTGGGTGAGGCCAGTTTTGTTGCAGCATCTTATTAACATGATTGCAAAGAAACCAATGTTGTTTCCAAAAACACAAATGCAAAGAATGTGGTGCAACGTCGTCTCACCTACACCATTTGATTGGGGATCAAAAAAGTCATTAATTCATCACCTATTGGTTTCATTGACTATATTGTTACGACCAACAGCATCTTTAAACAGATTAGGCCAAAGATTTCATAACCACACGAAACTGTGGATTGTTATGGATGTAATTAAAGGTCTTAATAATAGCGTCTGGGTGTTTTTCGTTAAATCTTCCATAAACTAGATTGGCAAAGCAGCAATAACTATGTACTTATTTAGATCATCCTTAACACAGTATTCTACAGCATCAATAACTGCTTCAATATGCATTACCGGTGCTCAAAAGTTCAATTGTTACGTTGGCTGTGAGGCAAATAACGCCGCCTTGTTGAAATCAAACGTTGTCCATGTAATCCTTTTCAATTCCGGCTCCTTGCCCACTTTCAAAGAAACGCAAAACAATTTCCAGCCCATTGGACGAACCGAAAATGCATCGAATTGTCATGAGGTTTCACTTCTTGGACTAATTGAACTTTGCAAGCCTTCATACCGAAGTCTTTATGCAAATGGGGCAAAAGGCGCCCTATCTTGCAAATTTCCAACATAAAACTAATTTACTGTCAATTCATGAATGTCATTCTATCTATCAAAATCAAAATAACCGGTGATTCAAAGTCCATACGTTATCCTGTACTTATTGTATACAGATGTTTCTGTAAGTCGTAGCATAATTTTAATCACAAATACTAGAGTAAAAATGATGACGATTCGTGTACAAATTTTTGGTCTAAACCTATAAATGCCTAAGATTTGGATTAAAATTATGCCACGACTTACAAACACACCTGTATAAGCTCAGTTATGGTTTAAATAAGTTAGTTTTCTGCAGACCGGTTATTAAGTCTCATAGTACTAAATGGAATTTGGTTATTAAGTGCGCTGTGTACATCTTTATTATGCTCTACTTCTTCCGATTATGACTGATATTCCACGTCATGTCGAGATTTAGTTGACACCTACAGGCTTGATAATGATTTGTTATTATTGAAGCTACTTTGAAACACAAAGAGATTCAAAGTTTTATGTTCAAGTCAGAAGTCTGTGCAAGTTTTTGTCATATCCAGTGATATCATAATCAAATTTCTTTCATACCTTGTTTCGCGCGAGGAAAATGCAATTTCTTTTTGCATTTTTATGCCATTTTTTCTCTCGATCACTCGATCACTTTTTATTTTATAAATATAATTTAAGTTAATATTCATTTCACCCTTTCTTGGATAAAGTAGGTAATAAATCTTTATTTACTAAGGTGATAGATTTTATTTTGTTAATTGTCTTTATTAATTTCAGCCACCTGGCCGTCTTCAGAAGACCTGTCAGATTTTATAAACGCACGTGAACATGTTAAATTTCAAAAACTAAATATTTTATCGTAATGAACATGGTATAATTTAGCGGGAAAATAGAGTTGTTAGTTTTTTTTTTATTTTATGTTTGAATTCATCACATAACATCTAGAAGTAATTTGCACTATTCTTATAAAAAATGTTTTGTCTACTTGCACATTGTCAACCTCACATTAGATGACACAGTAAAAGACAATGGATTTTTGTTCTAACTAATATATCAACAATTTCTGATTATATAAAGAAAACTTGGATTTAAGCAACTATAAAAAATAACATAATTATTGAGCTTATTGATATACAAACTTCGAGATGTTCTTACTTAAAAAATGAGCAATCGAATAAGAAAAAAATTAATACTTACATTTATGTATTATATTCCTTTTTATATTCTTTATATTCCATATAATTTGTTAGAAAATTTTCAAATAAAAATGTTATAACGCGAACTTTATATTCGAAATCATTACTCCAAAACTAAATAAAGATCACCAACATTTATAAACTTGTAACATTCAATATATATTTAAAAAAGAATTTTTAATTGAACAATAAGAGTGTTTTGGTTCAGTCTGTTTTCAGGATATGAAATTTCAGATACAAAACAGGCGGAGCACAACGTTCCTGTCCGTTCTCGATTGGTTGCTACGGATCATTTACCCTGGGAAACCAGCATCCGCTTTTTCACGATTGGTCCAACCTCTGAAGGATGAAATAAACTCGCGGTAACTTTTCAGCGTATCGTTTAGTCATTTCGCAAGAACTCAAGTGTGAAATACCATTGCTAAATCGTAAGATTTAAATTTGGTAAGTGGAATGATAAATTTACAAGTTTTTTTTTTCATTATTAATAACATTAATTTAGGAGATGCTTCAAAGTAGATCTGCACGAGTTCCGAAATGCGCTCGATGTAGAAACCATGGGATGATTTCTACTTTAAGGGGACATAAGAAACAGTGTATTTATAAGAATTGTTCGTGTACTAAATGTGGGTTGATTAAAGAACGACAAAGGATTATGGCCGCTCAGGTAAAAAGAATAGAATAGATTTTATTGTGTTCATAAAAAAAAGATCGATATTCCATTAGATGAGTGTCAAATGACACAAAAACTTGAGCTGCCTCCGCAAACAAAGTAAAACCTGATACCCACCACTTGATTCGACAGTCAACAAAACTCGTGTTTACAATTCATATCTACTGTTTAGATTATTTTTACAATGAACATTTTTTAATTAATTTTTGTTTTTAGGTCGCTTTAAAACGTCAACAAGCAGCTGAAGACGCAATTGCCCTCCATTTAGCGGCAGCAGAAAATGGCACAACCTACGATTATCTCCCACCTGGAAAAATTTTTGGGATGCAAGTTACATCTCCTATGGCGGAATCCCCAGATCTTCCTAAAGGACGTCCTGTAACACCTGAAAAACCATCCGAAGAAATTTCGGTTAGTCCTGCATCTATCGATATGCTTTGCAAGCTTTTTCCAAATAAAAAACGATCCGTTTTGGAGTTAGTTTTAAAAAGATGTAATCATGATTTATTAAAAGCCATCGAACATTTCAATTTGGCCAACGCTAAGAAAACAGATGGGGAAAAGAAAATTGTTGATGAAGGGGGTGAGGATGACTACGTATCGGCTTTTAAACCGGTTTATGGGAAAATGGGTCCCCATGGGAATTTATTGGCGGGAAGTAAAGTTTACATGCATAGTATTTACCCATTTTTATCGCTTTTTAACCCCCAACCTGTTTTACCAAGTCCAGTTTATGTCCCAGGATTTTGCGATTGTAATCAATGCAGGTACAGTTTACATTCAAACCCTCGAAATTAAATATTAAGTTTTTATTATCTTTTTTTTTGTGATATATCTACACCAAAATGTATGTTAGTAATAATAAAATTCATTATCTCAATAAAGTTATAAATATATTCGTATGAAAATGCTTTGTAGTCTATGTGGCGATTAAAATAAATATGTACAACATAATTTGGGTTTAATTTATTTTAATTTAATTTAACTCAATTTGTTAGGTTTTGGGTTAGATTAAAAGAAATATTGAAAAGTTAGATTGACTTTATATTGTCTGGTAGGAGAAAGATTCGTGACATTTGTATTCATTTGTGAAATCGATCCTATATGCTCTGGGGCAACCCAAGCAAAGATAAACAAAGTATTCTTCTTAACTTACAACGCAAATAAGAATATCGAGTTAAGTGGTGCGGGTCGGTTCAAACGAATTTAGTACGCGTCCGACCGTGTACCCCGGGGAACACTGATTTATCCCCTAAAGCTGAGAGGGAAACCTAATATTAAATTACTTTCTCGATGGATAAGTTGGGTAACTCTACAATAGATTCAATTCTTTACACCACTTAATACACATCATATTTTATTCCCAATCTTCGCAAGATTCCGTCGATAAAGATGCGTAAGATGGTAAGGTTTGTTCCTCAGATAGTGGTTGTTTCTTCTACAAACAAAAAAAAATTTTAATTTGTAGTAGTTAGTTGTATATTATTATTGAACTAAAAGTTGGACTAACACTAGAACTAGAACTAGAAACATTCAGGTTTAGCTGTACGTCTCTTAAGACGGCTAAACCAGAATGATTCTAGTTCTATGTCTAGTGTTAGTTCTAATGCTAGTGTTAGTTTTAGTTGCTATTCAGCGTTCGGTAGTTGTATATTTATATTAAACTAAAACTAGAACTAACACTAGACCTAGAACTCTAAATTATAATCATTACCAACTTAGCGGATTTAAAACCCGAAATATTCCAAATTAGGCGTATTTAACACAAAATCGCTATTATCTCAAAAATTAAATGCTGTGGATGGAAATAATATTAATAAAAAATGTTCATAATACATCTACAAAGATATTATTTATAAACAATATCTTTCTAGCTAGTTCGCATTTTTAGTTAAAAAGCATAAAAAACAGAAATCAAGAAATTGACGTTTTTCAATAAAAGTTTTGAATATATCTCGATAATTAAAAATGTTTGAAGAAAATGTTGTGGATAAAAATTATTTGTAACCAATCAACATAACATTATCCGCAACAATTTATCTCTCAATTATAATCCTTGCCAACTTAGAGAATTTAAATCCCGAAACATGTCAAATTTTACACATTTAAGAAGAAAATAGTTTTCATCTCAAAAATTAATAGCTGTGGATGAAAATAATATTAATAAAAATTGTTCATAGTACATCCACAAAGATATTATTTATAAACAATACCTTTCTAGCTAGTTCGCAGATTTAGTTATAAACCATAAAAAACCCAAACCAAGAAATTGAAGTTTCTGGAAAAAATTTTGAATATATCTCGAAAATTAAAAATGTTTGAAGAAAATGTTGTGGATAAAAATTATTTGTAACCAACCAACATAAAATTATCCGCAACAATTTATCTCTCAATTATAATCATTGCCAACTTGGAGAATTTAAATCCCGAAGAATGTAAAATTTTACACATTTAAGAAGAAAATCGTTTTTATTTCATAAATTGATAGCTGTGGATGAAAATAATATTAATAAAAATTGTTCATAGTACATCCACAAAGATATTATTTATAAACAATATCTTTCTAGCTAGTTCGCAGTTTTAGTTATAAACCATAAAAAAACCCAAACCAAGAAATTGAAGTTTTTGGAAAAAATTTTGAATATATCTCGAAAATTAAAAATGTTTGAAGAAAATGTTGTGGATAAAAATTATTTGTAACCAATCAACATAACATTATCTGCAACAATTTATCTCTCAATTATAATCATTGCCAACTTAGCCAATTTGAATCCGAAGCATGTCAAATTTTACACATTTAAGAAGTAAATCGTTTATATCTCAAAAATTAATAGCTGTGGATGAAAATAATATTAATAAAAATTGTTCATAGTACATCTACAAAGATATTATTTATAAACAATACCTTTCTACCTAGTTCGCAGTTTTAGTTATAAACCATAAAAACACAAACCAAGAAATCGACGTTTTTGGATAAAAAATTTGAATATATCTCGAAAATTAAAAATGTTTGAAGAAAATGTTGTGGATAAAATTTATTTGTAACCAACCAACATAACATTATCCGCAACAATTTATCTCTCAATTATAATCATTACCAACTTAGCGAATTTAAGTTCCGAAACATGTCAAATTTTACACATTTAAGAAGAAAATCGTTTTTATCTCAAAAATTAATAGCTATAGATGAAAATAATATTAATAAAAATTGTTCATAGTACATCCACAACGATATTATTTATAAACAATATCTTTCTAACTAGTTCGCAGTTTTAGTTATAAACCATAAAAAAAACAAACCACGAAATTGACGTTTTTGGATAAAAATTTTGAATATATCTCGAAAATTAAAAATGTTTGAAGTCAATATTGTGGATAAAAATTATTTGTAACCAACCAACATAACATTATCCGCAACAATTTATCTCTCAATTATAATCATTGCCAACTTAGCGAATTTAAATCCCGAAACAATAATAATGTTAGTTCTAGTTTCAGTTGTTATTCAGCGTTAAATTGTTGTATATTTTTCATTGAACTGAAACTAGAACTAACAGTAGACCTGAAACCAGAAAGTTTCGTGTTTAGCAGTGCATGTTCTGACATTCGCACGTGTAAAGTACAAATTAAATCGTTATATCGAGATTTTACTATAATTATAATAAATATTAATTTACTTTAATCACCTTAGTTGTTTCTAAATAAACTAAAAATGGGCAAAATATGATGTTCGTAAATCCGACTATTCTTATAAGCCACGGAAATCCTAAGACATTCACCAATTGACCTCCAAGTAAAGGTCCGAAACAATAAGCTAAACTAACGGACATTTGTTGCAGGGTATAAATTGGACCGTATTTGGTGCTTTTGTGCATATCAACCAAATTTGCTAATAACGGAACTAAAGCTGCGTCAACAGCACCAACTCCGAAACCTAATCCGAAATGAGGTAGGGTTAAATTACTTATTGTGGCAGCTAAAGGAATTGCACAACAACATAATCCAATAAGAGTCATAGCTCCTAAAGCGATCCTCCAAGAAGTTATTGATAATAATCCTAAAAGTAAATTAATTAATTTATTTACAAACATATATTATATTATATTTAACCTATAAAATTCGATCCTATTAAATACCCAACACTATCAGGGATAAAAACAGCTCCAAGTTGCCATTTACTTGGTGGAGGATCAAAATGAGCAATCATCCACATCGGAATACAAGGTTCCAAAATAGCCATAGCACCAGTTGAGATGCAAATCGAAGCAGCTATAATAATAGTTTTGTGGTATTTCATTAATTCGATCCAATTTACATTATCAACACCATCCTCTTCATTTGTATTTGAAGACTTTTCAAGTCTCATTACTTGTAATACTATTAAAAAAAATTATTTAATATAGCTTATTAATTTATTTAACAACATACAGATATTTATAATGATAAAAAAAGCTATGATCAAAAATGGTGCTGATTTCCCAATAAACTGATAAGCAACTCCTCCTAAAGGATATCCAATTAATACTCCAAGCGCGATTCCTCCAAACGCTATCGGCATAAATCGTAATCGATAGTCTTTGGGGAGGGTGTTTGCTAAAATACACATTCCGCTAACTCCGATTGCTGCGGAAGAGCTTCCGTGTAAAGCTCGCGCTAATACGAGTACCCCATAAGATTTTCCGTAAGCAAAAACTAAAAAAAAAAATATAAAGCTAAATGATACATAAAATGATTTTTGCGATTTACGTATAGTTGCTATTAACATATTGCAAGATCCAATCAAAAGAGGAACGTTATAATTATATTTTCCTGTTAAATATCCCACTACGGGTGTAAAAATTAATTGGACGAAAGCTTTCGAGGCTAAAAGTGCTCCTAAAGGGCCGTTATTTTTTTCGAATTGTTCGAATTTTCTTTGAATGGGGCTTAAAGATAATCGGTTAGCAACCGAGTTTTCTACATCTTTTGAAAATAGGTAATCCGGTATTATTGGAACTGAAAGTTAAAAATTAAATAATAAATAGATTTTTATTTTTTAAAAGATATACTTACCGACGACCGTTAATAAAACATTATCCAAAAGGAAAGAGAGGTAAACAATAACGAATACTAAGATTTTTGAATCTTTTAAATCAAGAACGGATTTCCACATAGTTAAGATCCGTTTTCAGTAACGGATCGCAATGCACTAAAAGTCGCTCCGGTTTCACACTGGTTCATTTCGAGGCAGTTCGGTTTAACCAATTTACGATAAATCGCCAAAGGATAGGGTATTTGCCACTTCATCGCTTTTCTATTAAGGGAACCAGTTATCGAGTATCGCACACATGGTGCTTTATATTTAAACCAAATCTGTTTAAGACTAAAAATTTTAAGAAAACGTTTTTGCTTTTTCACGTTAAATCATAAATTATACAAGATGGTTAATGAGTTGATCTAAAATTTTTGTTTCATTATAATCAATTTTCGGTATATAACACGATTTGTCCTTATGGTAAGGTAGTCGATGCTTAAAACTCACATCATTTTTGAGTAAATTACCTCTAAGAACTATTAGAAGATAGCACTCTGAGATACATATTTTCGATATCATGTAATATGGTTATGCACGAATACGAGCATAGGTTGATGCGTTGTCATCACATCTTCCGATGAAATAAACTTTACATCCATGTGCTCCAATTTACAGAGTTTTATCAAAGCCGAAAGGATATCCTCTATTTCTAGACCACATCCCAGGTTACAAGAAACTCATGCATTCATCCTGGTAGTTAAAGAAACATGAGACTCACGAGTGTCAAAACGTTCTGCGTAGGTTTTACATTGAGGATATTAATAAAAGTCTTAAGACTGATAGTGTTGAGCTTGATGGACGCGTTTACTTCCGACGGAATGGATGAATTAAAGGCATCTACCACATAGACGTTTTTGCAACATAGTGTGTTTTATCAATAAAGCAGAGGATTGGATAACTATGGTTCATTTCTATGGATCACGCGTCTATGGTCTGCAAGCAGATCAATGTAGAATATTAGGTTCGCAAAACGGTTGCCCGACGTTTCAGCGATGGTTAGGGATTGTCAGAACCTCGGTTGTTAAAACATGTGTACTATTGAAAGATGATATTGAGAATAATGAGTTTAATTTGGGTTTTTATGCAAATTTGATGGGAGTTAAATATAACATCAAATTGAAGTTATGGACTGATTGTTTCGTACCAATCAAAATTATAATTTTAAGGCAGACGCTGCCAGTACAAACAGTAAGAGAGTTTTCCAATGAAAATGGTAAAACAAATACCGGACATATTGAAATGTTATTTGAGCAACTTATATCTATAATAGAAGGGATATAGAACGATGTCATTTAACAAATCATAAAAAACTCAATCACAATTTTGGTTGAAGAAACGTTCGACGTAGTTGTCATCAAAAAAGCCTTAAGTTGTCAAAAGTTGCCTTAAATCTGGCAACATTGTAAATTTTATGTATCGAATCTCAGTATAAGAAGATGGTCATATACAAAATTTTGTGTAATTCTTGGAGCATTTACGAGAAAATTGGGCTTTTCCAGACTTTTGTTCCACTCTTTTCCTAGTACTCCTTTCTGCTATGGGAAACATCTTGTTGACTAACTAAATCTGCATCTTCCTTCGAGGTATGTTTACCTTTGTGTTTTCAATAATTACGCGTTTATATTTCTGTAGATTGCTTGTGGACTCTACATACAGGGTGTTAGGTAAGCATGCGGCAAAAATTCAAGGGGTTATTCCTTGGCCTATTCTAAGAGTATTCTATCCTATGATGATTTTTGATAAACCCCTTTGTTTCGAAGCTACAGAGCGAACAAAATGATTTATTAAGTACCTAAATACGTCTCATCGATCGCATTTGTTTACATTGAGTGACGTTTGCCTGTTTGACGTGTCTGTAACAGTTAGTGTAGTACCTACTCTATTATGATTTATACGAACGCCAAGATGACTGACATGCATTTCATGTATGGACTTGCTGATGGCAACTCATCAGAAGCTAGACGATTGTACATCCACCATTTCCTGTCCGTAATGTCCCCGACCGAAAAATCTTCGAAAACATTAATCGACGTCTTCGTGAAACAGGTTCATTAAAACGAAGTGGAGGATCAGGAAGATCAATGACTGCAAGAACGGTACAATTGGAACAGATGTGCTGGACATGATAGAGGAAGATGCTGGTAGTTCTACGCGAGAAGCTCAAATACTTTGAATGTAAGTCATTAAACAGTTTGGAAAATTCGTAAGAACAATTTGTTGTATCCATATCACATTCAACGCCTTCAAGCACTACTATCTGCTGATTTTCCTCCACGTATTGCATTATATCAATGGATATTGCAAACATTAGTTCGCATCCCTCTATTCCTGACATAGATTCTTTTTACCGATGAAGCCAGTTTCTCAAGCAATACAATAAAGAATTTTCATGTGTGGGCAGATGAAAATCCGCATAAGGTATGTGAAGATCATTTTCAACATCAATTCTCCTTGAATGTTTTGGTTGGAATTGTGGATGATTATCTAATCGGACCGGTATTTCTACCAGGAAGACTTGCTGGCGTGGTGTATCGCAATTTTTTGGCAGAAAAGCTGCCTGAGTTTCTGGAGGATGTACCATACACGACAAGAATTGCAATGTGGTTTATGTACGATGATGCACCACCACATTTCAGTTTGATTGCTCGTAATTATTTAACAGCAACATACGGATATCGCTGTATTGGTCAAGACCTGCTCGTTCCCCAGACTTTAACCCCCTGGGTTATTTTTTCTGAGGATCTCTGAAGTTATTAGTTTACGCTACTCCAGTGGAGAATTTGGACGATTTGCGAAATCGAATAAGTGTTGGGTGTAACTCAATTACAAACGACGCAGAAAAAAGTTCGGCAGTCAATGATGAGAACATTGAATGCTTATATTCACCCTGTATAATGTTGGGGTTGGGTTGGGTATACAGTATTTAGCACATCTGTGTATTCGTTTCTTCAGAGTTTCGATTTTTTTTCTTTTTTCATTACTTTAGCTTACTCATTTCTATTTTATTTCTACTAAAAGTCAGGAAACATTTTTTCCTATCTTTTTCGCTTATCTTTTTGGTATCTATGTGTTATACCAATTGCCTCGACAACAAGGGATCTCGGCGAAATTGCAAAAGAAAACCTATTTTTACAATAACATTATATTATGTGTTATTGAACTTCGGATAAGTGTAGTATCAAATGTATCGCTTGGCCCGCAAGCGACGTAGTCATAATCAACACAAAATCCTACATTTCTTGTTCTATGTTTAGCAGAGATCACTCTCCACCGAGATGTTGTAGTATGTGTTAACAAGTTTTGAGTGGATTTGGTATTAAATGTAGCGCCTTGGCTGCATGTGACCTCGGTTTAATCAAGCGATAGTATGCATTTCTACCATAATCATGCGAAGTCATCAATTTTTCCCTCTAAGATTAGTAGTCTTTATTTGTGGATTTGCCTTTTAGCAACTAAACTTCAATGTTGTCATGGTCATAATAGCAAAATATAGTTTGAAGATAGAAACTATTGCTAATGTTTTAACCATATTAGCCGTTCTTAAAAAACACAGAGGTTAATACAAAACTTATTTTGTAAGTATGTATATGTATCAAGAAATGAGTGAAACCCAATATAGATATCAACTCTTTCTACTAATACTTTTAACCAAATAGAAACAAAATTAAGATTTCTATAATCATCTTAAGGAACTTGTTTGTATAAAATTTATGTCATACATAATGTCAAATCAGTCCCAACAAAAATTTATTTAATTTTAATATTTTTAAATCATTACAATAATTTTAAACAAACTTAATTATACTGATTAAGAAAAATTCCATTAAAAACGAGTTAATTTATCAGGATTAATCGTAGATGCTGTCGATCCTTGATCACTTGGAGAACTGCAATAAACTTCTTCTTGAATTGTATTACGTTTTTCAGCAACGATTGCATGATTATTAATCGCTGTAACGTTGACACAATCGTAAACATTCTGCAATAGAAGAAGAAATTAATAGTACGTCTCTTTAACAGGCAATAAAGGAAATCCTTATAATTATTTATGCAAAACATTTCACTAACTACTTACTAATTAAGCACAAGCACTGGAAGGTGGTAAACTGTAACGATCTTGTGCAGTGCGGTGTTTCTTTTTGTTTATATACATCTAATCAACGAATGAAATAACTTAAGTAGTGAAGTAAAGGATGAGTAATTAATAGAAAAAAAATTTACCTGACCGGTTGCTTGATAAACATCCAAAGTATTTACAGCTAATGATGGCAAAGCACTTGTAAATCGATCTCGAGCTGCAGATACGGTTATTAAATAAGTTCTTGGTATAAAAATCGTTCCAACAAGAATACTAGCGGTGACAACCAATCCGGCACATAACATCAGATCTTTCCAATAATCTCCAAGCATAAAATATCCAGGAATCCAACAGCACCAATTACAAGTTATTAAAATAGTTGCGATAACAAAATAACGACCTTCTTTGTAATTTCTTTGAGACTTGGCAACAAGTGGGGATAAAATTAATAAAAGTATTAATAAAATAGCGTTGTACGATAAAAGATAAAATACAAAGGGCGTGTGGAAGATTTCTTCTTGGCATCTACCAACAATTTGAAGACATAAAGCGCATTGCACGCTAAATATAAAAAAGGTTAAAAAAGATTGAACGACTCCGGCAACGTGAGACATAAATCCCACCTCATTTGAAGCGGTAGCTAATAGAATTACCCTTGAAAGTATCAATGAAAACGCCGCCGCATATGGTAAAGCTAAACAAAACGATCTAAACAAGATTATTGTTGGTTTTATATCATCATCGCCGTCAATTGCGAATGGAACGATTGAAACGTACATTAAAATAACAGCTATTAAAAGCAGCACTGTTAAAGTTGGGTTCCCTTCGAATATTTGTTTTTTACACAAACGTGTTATGATGAATATAAAAATAGCAATGCAAAAAAGAACTCCTAAAAGGGATATCGTTAAAATCGCATAAACCCAATCGTCGGAACGTAATTTTATGACCCAAAAACAAGATTTTCTTTCTGACCAAAAATTTAAACAATTCTCTTCACAATAACTTAAAGAATTCTTACAATTATTATCGGAATCATCGGAAGTGTTTGCGATTTTTTCGAAATAATCATTGTTATCGTTCAATTCAATGAATGTTTCATCGAACACGTTATAAATTGCTAATTTTTTAAGTGGTTCAAATTCCGATTCGATATTTTCCGAAACAAATATTTCGTAATTAAATTTTCCTTGCAGAGGTTCTATCTCGAAAAATTTAAGAATCTTAAATTTACTCGACGATGAAAGTGTTGTTTGCATGAAATATTTATCTTTTATACAAGGTAATAATAATAAGTCGTTCGTTACGTTGCAATTATTTTGTAGAAAAATTTTGAGTGATTTTGCGAAATTAATGAAAGGATTTGCTACGTCGAAAAAAATTGGAGTTGGCACGATTTTTGGTGGCTTTTTAGAATCGATAATAGTATCTTCGTTGTATCCTTGAATGAGATATGAACCATCTGGAATAGCTAAAAAGTATAAATTAAAATTTGTTGTTTTTTAATTTTTATAAAATTTTACTTTCTAATCTTGAACCATCAATAAGAACAAAAATAGCTTTTTTGACGTCTTTCAAACTAGATGAAATTATTAATGAATTATTGATCGAAACTCCATCTCCTATAATTACGTATTGATTGTTGGGAGAAAATTGTAATATCTCTAAATCCCTGTGATAAAAAAAATTAATACAAAACCCAAAAAGTTTTAACTAAAACCTACTTTGTTACCCAAACATTTTTTACGCACAACGAAGCCTCTTTGGTTGAAGTCAAAACTTCCTCAACAATATCACCTTCTTGCGCAATGATAGATAAATTTCCATTCCAATTCAACGCCGATAATAATTGAATAGTACCGGAAATTATTTGTTTATAATTTCGTTCGATATTCATAACGTGAATGTTTAAAACGTTACAAAATTCTCGTAATTGTAAAGATAAAAATTTCGATGTTATTACTCCAACGGTAAACTTCTGTTCTTGTTTTTGAAATATTTGATAAATAACATCGTAATATTGAGTTTCATTGCATACATCGTATATCTCTAAGCCAAAAGTTAAAGGTGTTGCGATTTGAAGAACATTAAGTCTATCAACGATCCAAATAACCGAGTTAATTCTCGTCGTTGTAGCTTCCTCATGATGTTTATTTTCGCAATCTTCCAAATAAACTAAGTTAATATCCCCCGATATTTTATGAACTTCTTTGATTTTATTAGAAATGTTAAAACTAGGATATATTTGTAAAATAATAAAAAATAACAATAATAATTTCATTGTTAAATAAAAATATTTTCGTGGGTGTTTGTTCAATTTCCGGCTTCTACGCTCTGATGAACTTCGCACACGACCACCACACTATATACCGACTAAACTCGTACTGACTGAATCAATAGACCTCCACGCACTAGCTAATACTGTATCACTAGAAATGCTCTTATAAGTACTTCCACAACACTCAGCCATGTGACTAAATGCTATTGTAGTTACCAAGAAATGAAACATTGTTAGATCGATAAAAATTTAAATTTCGTTTTAACTTGATATCAAAGGTTTATTTCGAAATACCCTTATTAAGTTACTGTATTGAAATACAATGGAATTCTGTTTAGACGTTCTGTGTAATGAAGAAAGTTGAGATTTTCTTATCAATTTCAATACCGTGAATAATAATTGTTGCGTGATAAAGAAATTAATTTGGAATTTAATATTTTTTTAAACATTAATGCGTTATTTAACAAGTGAAGAAAATAATTTCTTTTATACAATAACACCCATGATGTGAATGCATTCTCTTTACGCCCACAAACAACGTAAACATTCCAACGATATTGGAATTTACAAATCTTATTTATCGAGTATAAACCAAAACATTTTTACCTCAATAGATAATCGTATTCAATATTTAAGTAAAGCTATGTATTTAATGATATACTCGAGATCTCTAGGTGAAATAATATTTCTAAGAATAAGCGAAGCTTGACAAAAACAGACGCTACAGTGATTATTGTGATGTTAAAAAAATAGGAGACATGAGAACTTGGTTTTAAACATAATATTTTGAGTGATTGTGGAGGAAATTAAAGATATCAAGTTCTGTAAGGGAAGTAGCAGAAAGAGGAATTAATGGAGATGGAAATTGCGAAGTTGGCAAAAAATTGGAATTGTGTAATGGGATAGGTTTTAGGATGTTTTAGGAGAGGATATTTGTTGTGGTATTATGCAAAGAATGTTAGTGTTGTGAATTTGTGTGTAAAGTGTTATATGGAGATATTGGAGATGGGCAGGATGAAAGATTCCAGTATTATAGTGGGAGAGGAGCTGAAAGCAGAAAAATTGATGATGGAGCCCACCTCCACAGCAGTGTAATAAGATATAACTTCTAGTTATATGACCCCATTCGCGCTTTTTTGGGATTTTCATGTCCGATAACAAAATATTATAGCAAAGATTTTATTCAAGGAAAAAAACTATCGATAGCTATGATGTAACGCAGTTCAGCAGAATTCTGCAATTCTTGCTGAAACGATGAGACAGCCATATTTACGATGAGCTCCTGAATAATTGTTGTTAACTCACCAATGGTTGCTGGGTTATTTGCCTAAACTTTTTTTGATATTGCCTCCCAAAACTGAGCCATACATTTTGAAATCTGAAGAATACCAGCCAAGAGATTCACATTTTAGAGGTCTTTGGATACTCCAAAACCAGAGTATGATAAAATGATGCTTTGCCATTCTAGAACCACATTTTCCCCCAAATTCAAAATAATAATTAAAAACACAAACCCTATTCACTTGTAACAGCCCTCAAACGAGCAGAATTATATTTTGAAGCTGGACTAATCAGTTTCCCTAAGATATTTTCAAATACAGTTCATGTCTTGAAAATATCGATAAAATATTTTCAAGCGATTTCGTACTTGTTCGAGATCCAAATTCCATCAAAAACATATATATATATATAAACGCTGTGTCGCAAAGTTTTAACGAATCTTGTTAATGGTTCAAAAATTATCAAGCTTTTTCTGTTAGCTCAATAATTGTCACCCTGTATAAAGTAAAGTGTTAGTAATTATATCAGTTTTATTATCAATTAAAAAAAAATGTCTACCCAAGGAATATCGGGCATATTTTCTGAGTCAGTGAATATAAACACAGCTGCTTTGGTAATAATACAAATATTGTATACTGACATAACGTAAAGCGCCTCAAAATATTATTGCGGATAAAGATAAAACTAGATGCGTTTAATCTGTATAATTATAAACAGTTTATATATAAAATATTTTTCTCTATCATTTTTAATTTTTGAATTATGTTCAGCGTTAGTAATGAAAATCATCAAATTCGATATTTACTCTAACTAGCTTGTAGTTAGTTATAACTTATAACTGAGTTAGCGTTGGTTATGGATTATGTACTATTGGTTAAATATAATCAATTTTTATATAAAATATTTTCCTCCACCACTTTCAGTTTTTATGTTATCATCATCTACAGCATCGAAAAACATCAATTTTAATACTTTTTGAATTTCCACATCCTAGTTAGAATGTAGCTATAATTGAATTAGTTCTGGTTATGGATTATGTATTTTTGTTTCATTATAATCAATTTTTATATAAAATATTTTCCACCACCGCTTTTAGTTTTTGTATTATGATCATCTACAGCAACGAAAACATCAATTTTAATAGTTTGGGGATTTCCACATTCCAACTAGAATATAACTATAACTGGGTTCACGCTGGTTATGGATTATGTATTTTTGATTAATTACAATTAATTGATACACAAAATATTTTCCGTCATCAGTTTCAGTTCTTATGTTATCATCATCTACAGCATCGAAAAACATCAATTTTAATACTTTTTGAATTTCCACATCCTAGTTAGAATGTAGCTATAATTGAGTTAGTTCTGGTTGTGGATTATGTATTTTTGTTTCATTATAATAAATGTTTATATAAAATATTTTCCACCACCGCTTTTAGTTTTTGTATTATGATCATCTACAGCAACGAAAACGTCAATTTTAATAGTTTGGGGATTTCCACATTCCAGCTAGAATATAGCTATAACTGGGTTCACTCTGGTTATGGATTATGTATGTTTGCTTAATTATAATTAATTTATATATAAAATATTTTCCTCCGTCGCTTATAGTTTTTGTGTTATGAGTTATAATCATCTACAGCAACGAAAAGCATCACTTTTAATAGTTTTGGTATTTCCACATTCCAACTAGAATATAGTTATGATTGGGTTCGCTCTGACTATAGATTATGTATTTTTGTTTAATTATAATCAATTTATATATAAAATATTTTTCTCCACCACTTATAGTTTTTTTGTTATGATCATCTATAGCAGTGAAAAACATCAATTTTAATACTTTGGAGATTTCCACATTCTTGCTAGAATATAGTTATAATTGAGTTAACTCTGGTTATGCATTATGTATTTTTGTTTAATTATAATGAATTTTTATATAAAATATTTTTCTCCACCGCTTTTAGTTTTTGTATTATGATCATCTACAGCAACGAAAAACATCAATTTTAATAGTTTCGGTATTTTCACATTCAAACTAGAACATGGTTATAGCAGGGTTCGCTCTGGTTATGGATTACCTATTTTTGATTAATTATAATAATTTTATACACAAAACATTTTTTTCTATCATTTTTAATTTTTGAGATATCCTCAGTTTAAGTAACAAAAATGATCAACTTTTGTACTTTGGAAATTTCTATTTTCTAACTAGAATGTAGTTATAACTGATTCAGCTCAGGTTATGGATTATGCGTTAAGAAACTTGTGATTCAATCTGTACTCCTTAAACCCTTGAATCTTAAATATTTGTTGCATATTAAAGTAAAAAATTTATGGAAAATGTTGAAAACGCTTTGCCTTTATGGGGTGACGATTAAGCTCGGAAAATGATTGCGCTAAGGTCAGGTATCATTCTAATTACACATTTTATGAAAAGTCGCAAGTGCGTCTGTTGAAGAAGGTTTATAAGGCCTAACTAGTGTTAGTATACAAATCTTTAAAACCAAGCTGTAAAAAATCTTAAAAAATTGTTTTGTTGCATAAGTAGATATAGATTATCTAATGAATAACATTGCATTTAACGCTTTCTTGTTGATAGGTGATGCTCTGGACAAACCAATGAGCCATGGAGAGAGCAATACCAGGGATCAGTCTCAGGGACAGAGTGCACAATGAGGAGATACGAAGGCGCACTAAGATCACAGACGTAGTGGCGGTGATTGATGACTTGAAGTGGCGATAGGCAGAACACGTCATACGACAAGGCAGTATTAGCTAGCCAAAAAAGATCATCCAGTGGAAGCCCTAGGGGATGGCTGAGATTGAATTTTTGGTCCCCATGGTATTATAGCTACATTCCAAGCATCTATCAAATATTCGCATGTGTGAGCTAGTGATTAAATGAAGGAGAATAGAGCTAAGAGAAAAATATTGGATATATATCATACAAATCCAGAAATATATATTCTGAAATTAACCGCTGAGATGTTGATAAACCAGTTTATATGCCTCATACTTAATGTTAGTATGTTGAGAGGTAAGCATTCTTTCCCAACAAGAGGAGATTTATTCGTTGTACATCTATTTCAAAAAACAGTCAGAACTTAATCAACGAGGTATAGAGTAGTTGGACGACTTTGCTGATATTTTCTGTCTGATGGTCGATGTTGTCGCTCTGATGAATAGATATGGTCAAATAGAAAAATTAGATAGACGATGAATTCAGAACTTGATAGACTTTGATGACCATGGTAGGTACTAAGAAAGGGTTTTGATTGACTTGATTTTTGAGCGTAGTAGAAAATATCTGGAACCTATCACATAGATCTTATTTCCCGCAACCACAAATATTATATGAGTAATTATACTAGCTAAATATAAACTTCACATTGTAAAAATTAAAATATCTAAAGAATCTTAAATACATTTATTTTGCTTCAAGTTTTGTCCTGAATAATCTCAAAGTAGAGATTACAAATTCTTTATAAAAAATGACGAGCTACCTTAATGTCATTAATTAATAGAAATTAAGCTTTTTCATTTACTCCAACGATACGGAGTGCTTTATTTCTTCAATGGTCTTCGAGCCATCGATGATTTCTTCTATTTTAGACTTTCGTTTAATTAGCTAATTACACTTATAATTTCCTTGCAATAATAATTTCATGAATTCAAATAGTAAGTTTTAATATAAAGTTTGAAACCTCATCATAATGGATTCTTTTAAAAGAATCCGAAGGCAACATAATGTTCAGAATCGATTCGTTGGTAATCTACCAAAATTATAGAAGCGATTCAAAGGAAAAAATCCTGTTTGGGACAACTTGATTAAAAGAATACTGCCAAAACACCGTTCCCGACCTTCTTAACACTGAAGACATAGCGAGACCACCTTAGTATAACTTGAGCCATCAACTGGTTCGGGTTACATGTGAGGTGATTTCGTTCAAAAATCTTCTTTTTCATAGTAAGTAATTAATAAAAAGTGAAATTATTTTAATTTTTTATAAAAATTGAATCAAAACAAATCATAATTTGTATTAATTAATTTTTTTGATTTTAAATGTTCTTTATTTGCGGTTGTTGACTTCGACAACCAAAACAGTGGGCGTAAACAAAAATAGTGATTAAGGAACCGGATTCAAAATTAAGAAGAAACAAAGAAACACGATTTTCTTAACGATCACAAGTTTTTTGAAAATAAGTTCATTAAAAGAATCTATGTTAAATTGAGTATCGTTTTTACAGTAAGAGAAATTTGGTTAAACCATTAAATGGTAGTTGCGAACGTTATTTGAATAACAATTAAGTTACGATTCGGTTAAAATTAATGTCATAAAATACGACCTTAACATTCAAAACCTAATAAGTAACCCTAAAAAGTTAATGCCAACTTCTTTTAGTTCCTGTTTGGCAACACTAACAAGATGAAAAAATTGGCCGTCTAATTGATTTTAAAACCAGTTTAAACTCATTATAGACATTTCCTTATTATTGATATTTAATTTGTTGGTCCAATCCAAAAGTATGCAAGGGTGCGTAACCTACTTGTTCAAGGATATATTAACAAACCGAGTTAAATTGAAACTCAACAAAGACGTGACCGTAATACTCAAGAAATAAAAAGGATAGTAAGGATTACAACTTCGATTAGTTAAGAAAGTATTAAAAAGAATCACTTTAAAATCACTTTCTTTATGGAAATATATAATTGCGAAATCAGAATATTAAGATACGCTTTGTATAAAATTGCATTGACCATCATAAATTGCGGTTAAATGATTTATTATAATGCATACAATGCCAATGTCACATTTTAAGCACGCACATTCTCGAAATTGAGCTTACACCGACCTTGATCGGTCAATGAACATTTTGGAGGTGAAAGAACGCGACATTAGCGTATACGTTATAATTGTTACATGGATAATATGGTAATCTCAAGACATACTTTATGCTTACGTTGTTTTTTTTGATGAGATGACTGTCAAAGAATTTAATCTCTACTTCTCGGTTTTTGCATGAGTAACGTAAGACCAGTTCTTGTCATTACCATAATTTCAACTTATCGGTCGTAAACCTGTTGTTTTAAATAAGACCATACAATGGCAAAACACCATCTATAAAACCAATTTTATGTCCTCCCATACAAAAAAGATTTTTTAATTTTTTTTTGATTCTAAAATTGTAGAAATATTGTTGATTTATGTACATATTTTAATTTATTTTATTTTATTTCAAGATGCGATTTGTGTTTCTTTGTTGTTCGGTGATTTATTTTTTCACCTCGTATGTGAGAGGACATGGAAGACTTATGGATCCGCCGGCGAGAAATTCTATGTGGCGGTTTGGATTTCCAAACCCAGTAAACTATAATGATAATGAACTGTTTTGTGGAGGGTTTACAGGTAAATTTTTTGTGAATTATTTTTATTTCAAATATAACTTTTTGTACATAGAACTTTTTTGCATAATACTTAATTAGTTTGGCCTATTGTATCTGTAGTGAAACGAATTCAACACTACAAATAATTGATTACAATTACCTTGGCTCAACTAATAGAAAAATAAAACTTGTGTAACATCGTTAAAAAGTTAAATCTTTAAATTTTCTGGAAAACACTCTCATTAAGTTTTCCAACTTCTTGTGTCTTTATTAAGTAACTTGGAAATGCTTTCAATAGGTTTGATCCATTTTGACACTCTCACCATCCACCTCAAATCATTCTCGTTAAGTATCTTCGAGTTGTTTTTATTTTATTAGAACCTTATTAACTCGCATTAATCATTTTTTTTTATATTCTAGATCCGTTAAATATTGTAAAAAATATCCCCATTAACTATTTTAAGTTCTTCCTTCTTTTCCAGTAATAAGACAATGTTGCCAATCATCTATTTTGACACATACCATGAAGACTTTTCTATCTCCTTTTATTTTTCAAAAATGTTCAAGAGACACCAAAACAATGTTTTTTAGAAGTTGGGTATCCACAGGTTGTTTGTAAGTGATTAGAACCATTTTGATACAAATCATTTCCCATATTCCAACCTTTTAGATTTTTTCTGCAAAATGTCTCTTTTAACTATTTTTACTTCTTCACCCTTTTTAAGTAATAAGAGAATGTTTTGAACTATTTTGACACATAGCAATAAGCTTTTTCTATTTTTCGTTATTTAAGAATCATTTTTAAAACTTGGTGTGTTTTCAAAATGTTTTCAATCATTTTTTATAAAGGGTAAGTATACCATAGTTTTTTTTAAAAGTGATTAAAATCATTTTGATTCACAACACTTAGCTTTTCCCAATTTCTATATCCTTTAAATTTTCTGAAAAATATTTCTCTTTACCATTTTACCTTTTTCATCTTTTTCAAGTAATAAGAGATTGTTTTCAACCATTTTAAACTATTTTAACCCATACCAACATACTTTTTCTATCCTATGTTATCTTTCAAAAAGTTTCAAAAGACACCAAATACATTTTTTAAAGAAGTTGTGTATACTCAAGTTGTTTGCGAGTGATTAGAAGAATTTTAATTCACACCAGCCTGTATTATCCATATTCAAAAACCTTTAAATACTCTGGAAAATATCTTCTTTAACTATTTCAATCTCTTCGTTCTTTTCAAGTAATAAGAGAATGTTTACAAATATTTTGAACTATTTTGACATATATCAATAAGCTTTATCTATCTACTGTTATCTTTGAAACATTTTCAAAAGACACCAAAATCAGTTTTTTGTAGAAATTCAATACAGTCTAAATGGTTGTGACCTTTGATTATATATAATATGGATTGAGCTAACTGAATATATCTACTAACAAAAATGTTGCTCAAGGTGAATAGACGCAGATGGAAAGCGATAATGTGAAAGTGTAACAAAGATAGGTATATTATATGTCAGTACGCTTCTATATCTATCTCACTTCTATCAGTACACCCATTATATGGCAGTACGCTTCTATGTCTATCTCGGTTCGATCACCTTGCGCAAGCTATCTCTCTCGTTGGCTCAATCCATATTATATATAATCAAAGGTTGTGACTGATTACAACAGTTTTGATTCACACAATTCAGCTTCTCTAATATAAGAAATTTTTACTTCTTCCTCGATGTTAATTAAGAGAATTTTTCCATCCATTTCACACTATTTGGACATATACCGACAAGCTATTTCTATCTCATGTTGTCTATCAAAAATTTTCAAACGACACCAAAACGATCTTTTATAGATGTTGAAAGAATGTTAGATGAGGTTAGTTTTGTTTTGAAATGTTAATCATCTCGGCAAAGAATGTTGAGTAAGGTTAGTTTTTCTTTGTAATGTCAATTATACCGTGAAGGAATATTGAGCACGGTTAGTTTTCTTTTGAAATGTCAATCATTAAGATATTTTAATGCTTTATATCACAAAAGTAAGTCCAGCTGATACGAACTATTCAAATTTCGATATGATGAGAGCTCAATTGTCAAAATCAAAATAAATTTGTTTTTTAATAAGATTGTAGTTAAACTAAACATTTAGATGATTAATATCTTAAAATAGAGATTAATAGGAATTTTATGACACTTTATAGTTCAGTATCTACAACTCTTCAAATCAAGGTGTGCAAAACAAGGCGGAAGACAATAACATTTGGGAAATTGAAACTATTTTAGAAGTATATCCCATATGAAACCTAAACAAGAACTGCATAGTGATATGTTCTGCTTGAATGAAAAGAATTATTTAAATCAAAGTATGATGGTTGATTGAACCTCATACAAGTTTTTCTTACATAAAATTTGAGTGAATCAAAACATTTAGATGATTGATATCTTAGAATAAAGCTTGATAAATAAGATTTTGACGATGATATGATAAATTACAGTTCAGTATCAAAATTCATAAAATCGGATTGTTTACAACCAGGTGAAATTAGAGACATAAAACTTTTTCGTTGATAACTTTTGAGAGATTCAAGATATTGTAATGCTGTATATCACAAAGGAAAGCCCACCAAATATGGTGATATGATATGGTCAGGTGGTATGAAGAGAATAATTCAAATCAGACTCTAATGTAAGATTACAATAGTCAAAAACAGCACACAAGTTTTTGTTCAATAACATTTGAGTTAATCAACACATATAAATGACTAATATCATAAAACAGAGCTTGATTAATAAAAATGTTACGATGATATGATATTTTACAACTCATTGTCTACATTTCTTAGAATCGGATTATTTAGAAGAAGATGAAACGGTTAAAATCGAGGTTCACTTTTTCGTCGATAACTTTTTAGACATTCAAGATATTTTGATGCTTTATGTCATAAAAGAAAGATCAAGAAATACGAATTGCACGGTGATATGATACGATCTGCTTATGTTAATAGAATTATTCAAATCTGGATGTAATGGGAGTTTAAAATTGTCAAAAATAATATACAATTTTTTACTTTGATAACGTTTGAGTCAATCAAGACATTTAGATGATTAATATCTCAAAATAAAGCTTGATTAATAAGAATTTCATAGTGATATATCACATTCTACTCAGATAGCTAGAATTTTTAAAATGAGGTTTCTTGGAAATGCTTAATATGGTCACAATTCAAATATAAAGCTTTGTCTTTGATAACTTTTGAGAAATTCAAGATATTATGATGATATACATATATCAGAAAATAAAACCCAATTAATAACAATTCCATGATGATATGGTACGTTTTATTGAAATATCCAGAAGGTTATAATAATGAACAGTAACATACAATTTTTCTTCGATATCATTTGAGCCAATGAAAATATTTTTATGATTTAACAAATTTGTTTAAAATTTTTAAAATTATTTTAAAAGCCCATATTTTGTACTTTAAATAAATAATTAAATTTCTTTTAGTACAATGGGAACAAAATGGTGGTAAATGTGGAATTTGTGGTGATCCTTACCAAGTTAAAGAACCCCGACCACACGAAGCTGGTGGAACTTTTGCTAAAGGAATTTTATCAAGACATTACAGTGTTGGACAACAAATAGAAATTGAAATTGAATTAACTGCAAATCATTACGGAAGATTTGATTTAAAATTATGCCCAAATAATAACCCAGCGCAAGAAGCCACGCAAGAATGTTTTGACCGATACCCTCTGTATATCGCAGGATCGAAAGATACAAGTTATTATATTCCTGAGGATGGCAAGAAAAAGGCCATTTTTACTTATAAAGTTCAATTACCCCCATACGTTACTTGCACCCAATGCGTTTTACAATGGACGTATTATACCGGAAATCAATGGGGTGAATGTCCCAATGGAACGTTAGCACAAGGATGTGGAGCATCGGAAACTTTTAGAAATTGTGCCGATGTTCGCGTTGTTACAAGCACGGGGGGTGTTGTCCCTCCGGCTTTCGCAGGCATTGAAAATCCTTATTTATTGTATTATAGGGATTATCAAAAACCGGAACCTTACAACGTTTATCCGTTAGTTGTTCACGAACAAGTTTGCGTTCCCCATAAATTATACAAAGTAATTCCTGGCATGGCTGATTGGTGTCAAACTAATTGCTTGAAGTATCCGCCTAATTGCCCGGAGAGTGTGTGTCAATGCCCGTAAGATTATTATAATAATAAGTTGTTTTCATAATTTATTTTAAATTTTTTTAGGACTACTTGCGATGCTGTTGGTGAATTGGAAGGTCGAACAGGGGCGGATGTTTACTGTATGGATCAATGTATTGTTTATCCATCTAAATGTCCTGGTGATAAATGTCGCTGTTATGAATGAAATAAACAAAAAAAACTGTGTACTAAAATAAAAAAGTATTTTTCATTTTAATTTTTGAGTTTTATTATTGAAAAAGAGAGCCATCTTAAATAGAATAGCTTTACTGCGGTATACAGAAATCTATTAATCATAGAAATCAATTTTTATGTACAAAAAACTTTATTTCGAATTATTTAATACAGTTTTCTTTTTTTTTGTTCAGAATCATATATTACATTATTTAAACAAGCTCTTTTATAGAGTTATAAATGCACACTGGTTTGCATGTTGCTGCTTTGTTACATAAAAAACGCTAATTATTAAATTATTTATATTTACAATTACATACCTAAAGTTAGATAACAAAATATTAAAGTTAAGTTATTCTCATTCATACTTATATAATTGGTAAATTTATATTCACTTTTTTTAGGTTTATCATCACGTCAATTATTAATAATTTTTTTCATGTTATAATCGTTTCAATAAATACAAAAACGATTTAATGATTCTTAACGATTTTAATAATTTAGAGTCTAAATAAATTAACGAGTTTACAGGAACGGAAAGGTGATTATTATTAATTGTTTTCTTTTGAGAATGTAATTGAGCACCTCGTCGCAGTGTAATGTGGTTTAATTTTATAATAAAAAAATACTTATTTTCCGCTATAATGACTACCGATATTCGAAGGTGGTCCTCTATGCTTATATCTACTTCCTGGTCTGGAATGGACTATTGCGTAATGATCACTATGAGATGATACAGATCTTGTTGAATTCATTGTTGATCCGCCTGAAGTGTATCCTTTAGGATTTTGAAGAGCTCCATTTAAAGAATACCTACGAAAATTCGTATCAAAATTTTTTATTTGAAAACAAAAAAGATTCTTTTAAACATTGCTTTATTAATATAGTTAACAAAATACAATTTTTTTTTATCTTTTTCTTTGCGCGTTTAGTAAAGCATTAACAAAACAAACAATAAAAATGAAACAGATATAGCACTTCATTGACTAGTAAGCTTTAACAATCTAATAATCACATTAATTCATACCTAGATCCATATTGACTTCCATGCCAAGATCTATAAGGGTCATAATCTTCGATAATACTGGGTTCTTTCTCGATAATTTCAGTTCGAGCGCAAGCACACGTCATCGCCGAACACAAAAATATATTGATGATCAACATGATTAAAAATAAAATACCAAGAGCAATACACAACCATAACAACCACGAAGGACGAATCGTTCCATCATCTTCGTAAAGTTCCTGAACTAAAGGAGCTTCGCTCGGATCTAAAACGAAAACGCTCGTGGCCGCTAATAATTCCCCTCTATCAGTAATCAAAGCTTTCGATTGAGTTCCATCCCCACACATCGGTTCGGGGCATTTTCCTTTGCATAATCCAACTTCACACTAAAAATAAAAACAATTAAAAAAATCATCTTAATTTTAAACAAAAAAAATACTTGAAAATGAACTTGAGATCCTTCAGGAAATTTAAATATTGACTGAATCTCAGCGTCGGCTCTACTATTTGCTTCGTCGTAAGTAAATGGTGTTATTACATCGGGATTTACAGGACATCCTCTGTCATCGATTAAATTAACGCTGCTATTGGCTTTGCTAAAAGCAAAGCAGGATTTAACTCTAAACCCATGACTTCCATCTGGTTCGGAAAGCTCCGCTCTTAGACTGTATCTTCTACCATAAACGGCTTGGTTCACTTTTCTTGTTCCGTCAATTAACCTTAGCGAAACTAGCGAGGTTTTGTTGTTATCGTTTCTGAATCCAACCTTACCACAAGTTATAATGTAGAATTTATCTTCGGCTAATTCTAAGGTTTTGTGCAATCTAACCGCTATAGGTACTGAACGTTCATCGGTTTTCTAATTTAAAAAAAAAGAAATAAATTTTATAATAATACACAGTTTTACAGAAATAATTAAATTTGCGGGTATTTTATGTTTCTTACAGTTAACGCTATACAGTCGGTTAAATAGAAATAAAAAAGATATATAATCTAGGTTGAAGGTCTTATTGTGTACCGTAATGTGAGGTTACTTGATTACTAACAGAGGTTACATGGTTTAACACCCTGTATGTAATCATTTTTCTAACAGTTTTATTATCGTTTGAAATACTATAAAAATTTTTTCTTCAAATTCCGAAGTTTTGAGTGTGCATTAATGTTATCATAGATTTTAGATCTTCTAAAGTTCCTGTGCAAACTAATTGTAATGTAACGATAATGTGGAAAGCATTAAGTTTTAAAGTCTCAGATCACAGAAACTTATTGAGATATCGCCATAAAATAAAAAATGACTTTAAGAAAATGTAATTGGTATTTAAAGTGTTGAAGATCAAATCTTCAAGTTTTGGAGTTATCATTTTATGAATACAATTCTACATAACTATAAATTATTGATCCTAGAATAGTATTTAATTAAAAAAAATCGTATCTCAAAAACTAAAGGAGATACCAACATGAAATAAAAAGCAATTTGAAGCAAATTTAATATGTATTTAATGTATTGAAGATCATTTTTTCAAACCTTCAGATTTAGAAGTTATGATTTTTTGAATACAACCCTGCATAGCCAAAATCATAGATCCTAAAAGAAAAGTATTTAATTTTATCTCAAGAACCAGATGAGATATCACCATGAAATAAAAGTCAATTTGAAGCAAATTTTATTAATATTTGATGTATTCAAGATCATTTTTTCAAACCTTCAATTTTTGGAGTTATGATTTTTTGAATACAACCCTACATAACCGTATATATTGAAGCTGGAGTAGCAGTAATTTATATTTAAGATATTGTATTTCAAAACCTAAATGAGTCATCACCATGAAATACAGAGCAATTTAAAGTAAATTTAATTGGTATTTAATGCATTGAAAATCATTTCTTCAATTCTTCAAGTTTTGGAGTTATCATGTTTTGACTACAACATTGCATGCCGATAATCATAGATCTTACAATAGAAGTAGTTGATTTAAAATAAATCGTATCTCAAAACTAGATGAGATATCTTCATGAAATAAAAAGCAATTTAAAGCTAATTTAATTGGTATTTAATGTAGTGAAGATCATTTCTTTAAATCTTCAAGTTTTGGAGTTATGATTTATTGAATACAACCCTGTATAGCCAAAATCATAGATCCTAAAATAAAAGTATTTAATTTACAAAAATCGTATCTCAAAAACTGGATGAGATATCTTCGTGAAATAAAAAGCAATTTAAAGCTAATTTAATTGGTATTTAATGTATTGAAAATCATTTCTTCAAATCTTCAAGTTTTGGAGTTATCATTTATTGAATACAACCCTGCATAGCCATAATGATAAATCCTAAAATGAATGTATTTAATTTTAAAAAAGGTCGTATCTCAAAAACTAGATGAGATATCTTCTTGAAATAAAAAACAATTTAAAACAAATTTAATTGGTATTTAATGTATTGAAGGTCATTTCTTTAAATCTTCAAGTTTTGGAGTTATGATTTATTGAATACAACCCTACATAGCCATAATCATAAATTAAAGTATTTAATTTTTAAAAAATCATATCTCCAATAGTAGATGAGATATCTTTTTGAGATAAAAAACAACTAAAAGCAAATTTAACTGATATTTAATATATAGAAGATCATTTCTTCAAAACTTCACATTTTAAAGTTATGATTTTTTGAACACAACCCTGTACAGCCATAATCATAGATACTAAAATAAAGGTAGTTGATTTGAAAATATCGTATCTCAAAAACTTAATGAGATATCCTCATGAAATAAAAAACAATTTAAAGCAAATTTACTTGGTATTTAATATGTTGAAGATCATATCTTCAAATCTTCACATTTTAAAGTTGTGATTTTTTTAACATAACTCTGCATAGCCAAAATCATAGATACTAAAATAAAAGTGTTTAATTTTTAAGAACTCATATCTCAAAAAGTAGATGAGATATCATAATGAAATAAAAAGCAATTTAAAGCAAATTTAAAAAATTTGATTATTAAATTTAAATTTAATTTTAAAAAATCGTATCTCAGTAACTAGATGAGATATTACTATGACAACAATTTAAAGCAAATTTATTACAGTATTCAGTATTTTAAAGCTCATTTCTGCAAATGTTCAAACTTTGTAGGTATGATTTTTTCAATACAACCATAATAGTAGATGATAGAATAAATGTAGTTGATCTTTAAAAAATAATATCTCAGAAACTAGTTGAGATATCGGTATGATATAAAAAGCAACTAATTGATGTATCATCATGAAGTAAAAAGCAGATTTAAATATCATGTTTATTCAATTGAAAATTCCACATTAATCTTCTTCTTGATAAAAAAGCAATGTGGGGACATTTTGCCACTTCCTTTTTAATTAATATTTACGTTACTGTAGAATTAGTCTTTTTCTTATCTATTTCTTCTACAAGCCGGAGTTGCATTGCTCTCATGAAGCCCTTGCCCTAATACACCGTTTTACCCTTAGCTTTATAACTTTTATGTCTTTATGCTTTACAGTAACTTTGCCACATGCACTTAGGCGTTCATTCACGAAGCATTTAATAATTAGATAACCACTGAAATAATTAGTTAATTATAGATTGTAGATGTAGATCGTTGTAATTATAAAATAAATTAAAAACTAAATTAAAATTGTAATATCGATCCAAACTTTATGATATGTTTAGTTTTAAACGAATCTTATAGTTTCATTTTCTTAATTAATAATTTATTGGGAAAAATTATAGAAACGCGCATAATCTGATACTGATCCGTTACTTTTACTTATGAAAGCAACACTTTAGAAAGTCATCCAACACCTTAAGAAGCCTTCGCATCGAAGAAGCGTAATGTTAAAGACATTTAAGCGAGAGAGACGGAATCGCTCTGGTTGATTCTATAATTGGCAAGCCGGATTTTCTTAACGGTACTTCCACGTGCAATTACATTTTATAATCGTTATTTACTTTGTACGTTGCAAGTTGTTAACCGAATCTGATAACATCAATGGCGCATTTTGTTGTTATAAACGCTCGTTTAAGAGTTTTCTGTTAAATGCCAAGGACGATCACGTTTTAAATCGAGAATATAGGCCAACAAGTAAGGAATGGTATTGACTGTTTATTATGGACAAGAAATTTCAATAATTTTCTTTTTTTTTTTGTTATTCTTTTCATGGAATCTATTATCTTTATGGTGACTTTAAAAAAAAATTTTTTCTTCGAATTTTGCATTTTATGCCAAGCTCCATACTGAAGATAATTTTAATGACCGACGATTATATGACACGGACCATAAAGCGCACTTACGTTGTTGATGAGGATGCCGCAAAAGTCCGGGGTGTTTCTTGTGGCCAGAAGGTTGATGTCCAGCGTGACCATATTGGTTCCATCTCCGTGAACCATGCAAGCGGGCGTTCTAAAGTCTCGGGCGTGAACTGCCCCAAGAAAACTGCTATTGAACGCCACTTTTATGTTCATGTGGCCGGTTTTACAAGTCGCTGAAACTTGCGGTACAAATTCATTTGATGGGCTTTGACACCATATCTGAAAACAATAACAAAATTACATCTTACAAATCTCTATTAAAAGATGCAATAATTAAAAACGAAGTAATTAATTTCTTTTTTTGTTTATAGTACTTTATAGTATAGTTTCACTCAAAGGAATTCCGGTCGATTAATTGTGATAATTTATTAGATTATCTAATAATGAACTATAAGTCGAAAGAACAGTAAAACTAATTAAGATCTTGGTACCGTTTCACAGTAAGCGATGGTAATAATTATACACGCAAAGGACGGAAGTACTAAGGATGCTTAATATCGTTTCGTATTAACCATTATTTTTAGTCGTTACGTTTACATGAGTTGCAAACCTAAAGACCCTGAACCGCGGTTCTTTTACATGCCACTGCGTGACCCCCAAGGAGAGATAATCTCTTGTGAGATGTTGCGCTTAAGAGAATCCCAACCCGTAGTTTATTTTCCAAGCTAATAATAAACCCTCCGCGGTTTTCATTAATATCTCACGGCGATTTTTCGCCACGTTCAGCCTTTAAGATGAGGGTACTATAATTTACTCCGTCGAACCCTTAATAATAATACCTATAAATCGCCTATGTTAATTACATTTTTTTTTATTTTTCTTAACCGCGAGACTACATTGCGTTCAGTCGAAGGACGATAAATCACATGCTTATGTGCAAGACCTAATAACAACCGGCCATCTGTTTCATGAAGCGATCCCTATATTTCTTCGACGATTGTTATAATACAATTGCGGTAGGGTGGTCGTAAATCAAAATTTTTCACTCTTAGCGAAATGATATTTTTAAAAGCTAAACCGGCCCCGGTTTATACTTTATATAAACCGGTATCATGCGAGGGCTAAAGTGCATCTAAAATCAAGGATGCGTGTAGCTATGGGTGTATACTATTTTCAGTCGGGTCACGTAAAAACGACACGTTGTGAATGTTGATTGGGATGTTATCAGGACTTTGTACAAGGTGGAATGGTATTGTTTTACCTACGCGTCGTGTGTCTTGTGCATAGTTTACTAGTACTACACTGTTTGTTAAAGTTTGAAACAACTTTAACTTATAATATTTTTAAGAAACAACAAAAATTTAAATAACAATACATTTTTGAAACTTTTTAATCATCAATATTAAAAATCTGTATAAAATTTATTTGTGGAATTTCTAATCTTCCAACATCATACCACAAATGCTACAAATTTTGCTTTTTCACATGGTGTACTTAATGTTAGAACTATGTTAACAATGCAACAAAATCACAAGAAATCAACCATGAAAGTGAATAATAAAGCTAGTTACTTTACGATGAAGCTACTCGTCGTTCTAAAGTGGCGCTAAAATCTCTTAAAGCGCAGATTTAAAAAGCATCATCCAACTAAACCTTCTCTAAACTGATCAACAGCATTCAAACTGTGATATTGCATCAAGAATGACTGATGGAAAGTTAACTCATTTCGGATCACAAGGTAAGAAATACAAAATACATAACTTTTCCCTACAAATCTAACCTAGACCTGCATTGTTTACTATAACAGTTGTTGGAAAACTACATGTAGGGCTACTCTTGGCAAATAATTTTTTTTAAACAAATAATTTTCTGTTTAGAGTGTTTAGATGAAAGAAGTGAGTCCATAACAGCCACCGCCTCTTTTCCCTCAATTATGAGCCTATAATCATTAACTAATTGATCTAAAAGATTAACTCCTGTCATGGTTAGATTATATGAAGAGGATGAATTATTGATGGGATTCCATTATAATAATAATAATAAGTTTATTGAATATGCATCAAAATGTACAATATTCTCGACAAATAAAGTTTATCTTCATTGCTGCAAAGTATTCGTCTATGGAGTAGAATTCCTCTTCTAAGAGAATATTCTTGACCTGTGTCTTCAAACTCTTCATATTCAATGTTTTGAAATGGGGTGATATAACTTTATAAATATATAGTTGAAATTTTTTTGTGATTTTGTTGTTCTGTGATATGGAAGTTTGATGTCAATCTCCTTGTCTGGTGCAGTAGGGGTGACACTCTGTAATTGTGGTTAGTGAATCCTGGTTTTTGTGTATACTTTTTTGTATAGTCTAGGCAAGTATATATGAGGATGGTAATGTCGGTATTTTTAGAGTTTTAAAATGACCTCTAATACTCTGGTTTTGTTTTAGACCTACTAGCGTTCTTATCGCTTTCTTTTGTAGTTTGAAAACTTCTTTTATGGAAGCACCCCATATTGCTATGCTATACACTGCCATGCTGTGGAAGTATGCGAAATACACACTTCCTGATTCAACCTTATATCATACATACTTACTATAGACGCAATACTGTTGTTCTTCACTGACAAACAAAAGTAAACTCTCTGTATCTTGAAAATATTAGTAAATACCATGTTCGTTTTTAAACGTTCATTTCAAAGATGCAGACTTTTTTGTTCTGTGGTATTGTATCGTACCTGTTACTACTTGAAATAGATTTTCTCCAAAATATATAAAAGTCCATGACTCTTAAAGTAATTGTCAAAAAGAATTGTGATCTGATAGAACTTCAATAATGTTGATCAAATCCAACCCAATTAGTACATTTCTTTTGAATCGTAATATACTAAAATTTTATTATTATTATATTATTACTAATATACTAATTCTTTGTATAAAAACAATACTTTGAAGAGATATTTTTCTGAGATGTAAATTCCTGGTAGTTACCCCTACCTTGGTGGAATGAATTCGTGAGTTATACACTTCGGCCCTTCAGACCGATTTTAATAGTGCAGTCTTGACTGGGATGCTGAAGTCCAGTTTTCGTATCATCTCTTCAGGGACGTTCAGGAGGTTGTTTTTTCTTTCGACAATCTGTGTTCTGGCATTCTGCCCACATGGCCTCTCTGTCCTTTCCGTCTAACGTGCGCCCATCTAATTATGTTCTGCACCCCACATTCAGCAAAGAGTAGCCCACAATTGCTTGAAGGATTTTTATCGTTTTGTTTCGAGGAAGCTCTTGTTCCCGCCCAGAAGTAATGTTTACTCCAAGATATTGCAACCACATAACCTCATCTCCTCACCTCCTTCTCTTCACAGATTAAGACTGCATCATTATAGCCTTCTCGCCCAACCTGAACGCCCTTTGCATCGATTTGTCAATTATTTCGTTCGTCACTAAATTGAACAGGAGTGGGCTGAGGTTATCTCCCTACCTCACTTTAGTTACAATTCGTGTACATTTTCTGAGTCTCTTCTCTGTTCATACAAAATCTTGGTCCCAGGTGTGTGTCGTTTCTCTACGTGACTTGAGTTATTTTGTTTTAAATATTCTATGGTTACGGCTAACAAGGACAGTTACTACTTCATCAGTTGAGTACTGGTGATCTGTTGTTCCTTTTATTGACAGCATATTCTTCTAGATACTAAATACTTCGGTAATTATAAACAGATACGTTCATTAAAGTCATGAACGAATTTCTGAATCGTTTAATGTATGCATTGGCAATACATTGGCAAAATGAATTGAGATACCATCATGAAATACGAACCATTGCAGAGCAAAATTTAATTTAATTTCCGCAAATTTTGACACACGATCAGATTAAGTTTATAAATTAAAACTTTCAAAAATCATATCTTAAAAACGATTCGCGATATCAAGATAAATTAATATATCATATAATAAATTTAATCTATTTTCAATACACCAAGATTAAATCATTTGTTCCTATAAATCCCGATGATTCGACTTTTTAATTTATTTCTGTGGTTATTGAGGTTAAGTTGATAAAAATTCAATTTACAACATTGCATCTCAAGAATAAATTGAGATGTAATTGTGAAATAAAATAGATTTTAATTAACACTTAATGAGTTGGAAATTATTTCATTATCGTTAGAAATTTCGATGTTATCACAGAAGATCATATCAATAAAAGTAGAAATGAGATATTAAGGTGTAGTAAAAACAATGTTATAATAAATATAAAATCTGGTGATACAATATTTCTAATTCAACTCTGTGGTTATTGAGGTTTAATCGATAAAAATGCAATTTAAAGTATAGTGCCTCGATAATGAATTGAGATATCGTCATGAAACAGAAACCGTTCAATCTAACCACTTTAGATAGGTTAATATTGTAAATACAAATGTGTTTTCTGATAGAATCTCCTGAGGATGAGAGAAATAATTCAAATTACTAAGAATGTTTTTTTGGCTATATTTTCCATATGAAATGCTAGTTTCATATTAATTTAATAAATAATTTTCTTCTTTACCGACACTTAGTAAACATCAAATTAAATTGATAAAGTTTAAATTGTTTAAACCTTAAGATTTTGTATAACCTAAGTAAAAACGTTTCCTGATATCCCCAAAAAGATTTATTTTTTATCATTTTTTTCGATCCGGTTCTATTGAAATTTTTAAATTATTTTTCATCATTTTTATTAATAGAACTATTCATCTGGGAAATTTAGTATAATTTAGGGAAAATTTAGTATAACCTAACATCATAGATTTCTTTATAATCCTAAAAAGTTTAACTTCTTAATTAACCGTTTTTGAGAAAAATACCACACTCAATAAACATCAAATTAAATCGATAAAGTTTAAATTAAATGATTTAGGTTTAATTATTTAGATAGGATTTAAGTAGATAAGATGAAATGATGGTCATAAAAACTTATTTGATGAAACATATTTGGTATAACCGAACCAAAATCTTCATTTTATGCCGTTTTGGAGAAATCATTTTATATATTTAATCTCGTCTACAACAAACATCAAACGAAATCGGAGTTTTTTAAATTTTATATAAAATAAAGTGATCACAGTGGTTACCTATAATTGGGCATAAAATATATTTTTAAATATTTAAATATATTTTTTATATTTAATCGTGTTTCCAACAAACGTCAAAAAAAATCGGCATTTTTAAAAGTTTAATATAAAATAAGTGATCTCATGGTCACCTATAGTTTGGCATAACCTAACCTCAAACGTTCCTTTATAACCTCAA